AAACAAAGCGAAAAACTGCAGGTTAAACCCATTTAACAAGGATTCTGCCTTAAGATGCTGTATTTGTATAGACGTGGTTTTGTGGGAGCGCGAGTGGTGCAGCAGCACAGAAAGCCAAGCACGAGGGCTTCCATACCTGTAGGCATATCGGGCTGTTCCCAGCTGAGAAGTTTTACACAAATAGCGTACCTGGCTGGGATGCTGCTGGAGCTGGGCAAACAAACAGAAAATAAAAAACACAAAGGTCTCTGCCCTGCTTCATTGTATTTAAGAATTTATTGCCCATCTTACTCATAGGGGGTAAAAAAAGATTTACAACCTAGCTAAGTTGCAGCTAGTCAAAGAGGCTGCCCAAGCCATGAACTGTGGGTGTTCAGTGCAAGGTTGTTTAGCAAGGCCTAAATTCAGGCCCTAAGTGCTTTTATAAGAGATTGTAAATCACTGTAACTTTTACACACTGTGGCAACATGTGAGCAGAGGAATGTGGCTGGTCTGTGCTAGTCCCAGAAGAGGTCCCATATGAGGCCAGCAGATCGGGCGGCAGACATGCGATACTGAGCCTTTGAGTAAAATACTCAGACTTGTATCTCCCCTGTGCTACGTGCGAATGTGACTTGGGCAAAGGGCCGGGGACCCAGCGCAGCGGTGCCACAGGAACAGCAGGCACAAGGGCAGCTCGAGCGCCCAAAGGGAAGAGCGCTGCTAAGCAGTAAGCAAATTGTAAAACACGAGTCAGACACAACATCTGGCAGCTGCTTCAAATAGTTTTCTGTCTGAAGGGCAGACAAGCCTGCAATAGTTTCAAATCAAAACATGTGCAAGGACAGGACCAGTGCTCCAATGAGCTTTGTTCCCTTCAGCACTGTTTTGTATGCCAGGAAAGGTTGTACTTCGGGTTAGGTTTTTAATTTTAAAAAACTCCACTAAATAAGTCACTATGTATTTCCTTCTCTAGTCAAATTCAACTTAGTCTTTGGCCTAAGATCAACAGCATTAGCTCAGCATAGGAAACATATGGGAGAGAAGAGGGGGAGCATGCTAAGAAATGTTTTTCATAGTTGTCCCACCTTATGCAGGAGAGCAGGCGTGACTGCCAAAATAAGTTCTTCAAGTAAGATGCATGTCCTTCTAAGTCTGCACATATCAGGTACAGGGAAAGGCAAAATTGCCTTGTGCTGGTACTGGCTAAGGACTTGACAGGTACAGACTTATGTCTAGGCACCAACAGGGACATTGTTTCAGCCCAGAGAAATAAATTCTCAGTGCTGCAGATAAAGGAGAGAATTGGCAAGCGTCCTCCACCTCCCCCATGTTTTTCTGTCTTGACCAAGATGCACAGCAGGGATGTTTGCTGGCACAGATAGGCTGCGCAGGAGTGTCACCTGCACCCCAGGCAGGCCTTCCTTTCGAAAGGAATTGTGACAAGACTGCTGAAGCAGTGTGACATTCTTCTCTATCAGCCACTAAACTCCTCGCCTGAACACTTCTTCCCCTCTTGCAGACTTTTCTGGACTCAAATTACTTTCACCAAAGCCTCAACTTCCAAGAAGAAACAAAAGTGGCCCCGCTGCTTGTCTAGAGCATGGGGGGATGCCAGATTCTCTGCAGAATTGCCACAGCACTTCTGTATCACCAGCAAGGCAACAGCAAGCAAATTGTAAAGGCCAGAAGCCTCCTATAAAACATAGGAACAGTTCTATGTGCATAAACATGGTTAGTCAGCAACAGCAGGAAGGTGAGAGATGCTGGCCACGGTAATAGGGTTGGTTTTCAAGGAGGTCCTAATACAAATAGGACTTAAAATTTTTGATGCTACTCAAAAAGGAGTAGGTCTGCCTACCACAAGCCAGTGCTTGAACACAGGCAATAGCAGGGGAAGCAGAGAGCCACTGATTCATTAGGATTTGCTAATCTGTGATATCATCTGTTGATTCCACCAGGTCCAATCCCCATCTCATGACTTCCTCCACTGTTGCCATGGCACTGTACATAAACACTGCAAACTCCCAGCCCTGAGCAGGTCATTTGTTTCAAATATTCCATGCAGCTGGAACACAAGCCTGTTTGGGTGTCTGGAGCTGAGCATGAACTAATTTCTCAGTCTTATACACCCTCCCCAGCCTGCTGCTCTCCCAGAACCCCTCCAGCCACACTTCCAGCAAAGCTGAGGCAGCCTTCCACTGCAAGGCAAGGGGAAGCTGGCCTTGTTCACACACAGGCAGAAAAGCAGTATTTCACTAAGGTCCTCCACTACCTGCAGCAAAACAAAAGTGGTGATTACTGAACACCGACATCCTAAGCCTAAATATCCAGCAAATATGTGGAAAGACATCCCAGATTCAAAAAGATTCTTACCCTGACTGGAGACAAAGACAAAAAACCACTTGCCTTTTTTTTTTTTTAAGCACTCCTCAGCCAGTACCCTTACAAGGCAGTTCATAAGCATACCTCTGAGCTTTAGGTGAGCCTCACATCTTGTAGTGTTTGCGTGAACTTATTAAATCATCTGGTTTCCACACACACAAGTTGGTAGCTGCAGGGAAGGCTCAAAAGTGCGTGGACAGGAAGGGGAATTAAAGCCTTTGTCTTAACTGATGAAAGTACAAACTCGCCTTGCTTCCAGTCAGTTTGAAGAGGCTTAACTAAACTTAACATTTCAAAATATATGAAAAGACAGCAACAAACAGCAGTGGGTAGAGAGTGAAAAGTAATTACTAAAAAGTAATACCAAGTGACTTGAGCTACATCAAGTTTATGACCTGAAGAACTTACCCAGAACACCCCGAAATCAATCAGCCATTTTTCAAGCACACATGATACAGAAACAACTCTCCCAACATTCAGTTTAACCTGCCACCACATCTTCTGTAATTAACTGTGCTGTTCTACTGGCTGGGGATCCCCTTCGCCCTCACCATTTTCTTTTGCTTTCTTCTATCCACCATCTCCCTTCCTAAGAAAAAGGACAGTCAGGTATCAATGTAAAATAGTAGGTTAGTGACTTGTTTTCATATGAGCTGCTTTCCTGGAAAAAGAGAAAGTTTGTTTGCTGTAATCTAGTAGTGAAATTTGCAAGCCTGCACAGTGCATCAAGTTTGGCAAGATAACCAATCTACTTGAGACTATTTGAAGAAAAAGGAGTATGATGTAGTAAGTCAGTTGTAAACCAAGTTAAATTAGGAAACCAAGGCTGCTGTCCCATCACAGATTTTATTCAACTCCATCTGGAGTAGCCACTTTTAGGCACTGGTGGCAGCTGTACAAAATCTCAAGTTTCCACACTCTGCCAGCCTGTACCAATTGCTGCAGCTTGCCCTCCACGCATGCAGGCCTTTTAGATGCCAGCTTTAAATAGTTATTCTTCCAAGCAGAGACAAGGCCACCACAGCCTTTGCTTTACCTGTCTGGGCTGGCTTCTTGGGCATAAGCTCACCATTCGTGTAGAAACTAAAGAACACTGATCATTTCATGCAAATAAAAACCAGCATCATGTAATATTTAATAAAGTTTATTAGGTTACTGAGTATTATCTACAGTCATAAAATATAGTCAGAATTTAAAACTGTACAAAGCAGTGTACTGGTGAAGTGAGAAGAGATGGAAAAAGGAGCACAAAGAACATTAGAAGTAGGGAGAACACAGCTGCTTCCCTGCAGTTCTGGAAGACACTGGTTCAAGTTGAAGGCAACCAAGTAGGGCTCCACACATTGAATTTTCTTGTGTCCCACCCTGTAACAGAAACTAGTACAAACCCCTACATTAAAAAAAATCATATAATATTAGATTAAAAAAGGGGCACATCACACCCCACCCAGTCTTGGCACCAATTCTGTGCTTTAAAAAATATACTATGCAAGTAGTTTACTTTAAAGAAGGTACCCTACAGCAGCTGTTTAAAACATGTTCTTATACATACACCACAAATATATATATTAACATTTTCAACAACTAAACTCATTTGTACCTACACAGAACTGAAAGGATAACTCAAGAGCAAAAAACCAACCACACAAACATTTTTCAAGACAAAGAAATGTGCAAAATAACCCCAGAAAGGCAGCATAGTAACCTGTGGATAGGTCAAGAGAGCAGCTCCTGCTAGTAAAGGAGTGTCATCCTCTTTACTTGGCTACTGAGGTGATAATCTATTTGGGATGTGCTGATTTTGCCTGAATTGTTTGTCCTGTTTATTGCAGTTCTCTCCTGCCCAACCCCTTGCCCCCCCCCAAGCTCTGGAGAGGTTCAGTGGCTTCTTGCTGTACCTGAAGACACCCCACCCCCCTCCCCCCACTGGCCTCTGTTCAAGTCTTACAAGTTACATTCCACAGAAATCACCTTCTGGATTTCTCATCTGCTGATGGTTCCTCTGCAGCCACACTGCTACCACCTTCTCTGGGACAACTTCCCACCCCCAAGCAAGAGAGAACTATTCCACTGCATAGTTAAGTGGAGATTATGCCGACAGTCTATGATGGAACAAAGCCTGGTTTGGATGACTTTAAGCAGCTTATCTAAGAAGAGAATTCCCTGGCAGAGCCATTAGAGAAACACACTAGTGCATTTCTCTAAAGCCTTAACATGGAGCAGGCTATAACAGAAAGCAGACCTAAGGTGGCAGGACCTATAGCTGTGTAACAAATCTCAGCTCATAGAGTCTGTCTCACCCTACTGCAGGAGAAGTTTCTCCCTTTCCTGTCCCCACATCAGCAAGGAACCCCTAATCCCACACTAAAACCTGCAGTTTTGAGTCAAGAAGGGGTCAGGTAAAGACATGGTATGACTGCTTAATCAACTGAGTCAAACCCACTGAGAAAAGGCAGAACAGAGAATGGAGCAGGAGAACTGAGAAAGCAGTAGTGATAAACAAGAAAGCAGGATTCACTGTCTATGAGATAACATTACAACGTGGTGAGAAGTCCTGGCAGAGACATCAGCAACATAACCACCTTCTCCAAATTAAGAAGTGTCCTGGTGGAAGGTTTCTCGGTTTTGGTGTTTCAGGGTTTGGGAGTGGGGTGTTTTTTTTTTGGTTTTTAAAAACTCAGCAATTAATTCTTCTTGGTATTCCAGGCTCTTCCCAACTCTGCTGGCCACCCCCTGCCTTTCCATTCTTTGGACCTGGTCTTGACATTTCTACTCCTAATGCCTTCCCTTCCCACAAATTATGTTCTTCCCTTTATCTGGTACAGAAAAACCACTCACTCCTAGGCTCTACAACCCACACAACGCAGTACAGCCTTTTCTCAGAAGGAGCAGGGAAGCACAGAGCTTCTATAAATGTTCTTTTCGTAAGTGTGCTGGGGAAGTGACTTCTAAAGGACAACAAACTCCGTTGTGAAACAAGGATTACTTGCCAATATGGGCACATGGAGACTTAAACAGTGGCAGGAATACTTTGGCCAAGGAGTTCCAACAGTAGCGATGACATGAGGGTGGAGACCCCTTTGCCCAGTGGGTCAGCTCCAGTATTTTGCCTTGGTTCCAACTCTTTATCCTTGAGCATGATGGTCATTGGTAGAGTAGGTAACTCTTGAGGGAGGCTGGCAGTGGCAGTGTAGGGATCTCATTCAGTCTTTCCTTGCCCAGAGCAAGCCTCACAGCTCGCCGACACAAGTCCATCAAAGGCAGTGGTTCAGCTGGGAAGAGAGACCCAAGACATTAACATCAACATCCCAACCCAGAAGTGATACGTGCATTTTGCTAGCTCTAAAAATCCCCCAGAAAACATGGAGCAAGAAAAGTGAATACCTGGCATGTTTGTAGGACTCAAGCCATACAGCATTCACATACCTGCAACTTCAGCTCCTCAAAACACATAGACAGATCATGATGTTTCTGAGAGGTTATTTAAGCCATGCATGTGTACGAACAACAAAAATACTAGAATCCCCTGATGGAAGTTCCTCCTCTGCAATACCACTCATACAAGTCAGAACACATCTTCTACCTCATGCCTTTTATTGCAGTAACCAAAAACCATTTTAAGAGATTCACTGAAGAGACTGCAGCAGTTTGATAGCATCATATGTTATGGGTACCCAGAAAGTACCATGATTTGTTTCTTATATAGTAGGATATAAGACCTGTCAACCCCTTCATTTGTACTACCTGCTTCCCACGAAAAACAAAACCATCAGTAAAAGCTTCATATCATTACTTGTGGTATTTTCCACTAGAGGATTCCCTCCTGTATCATAAACCTGGGAAAGGTACAGGCCTTCGGCTATCGTTTCTGCATCCTGTACTCAAACATTGAACAAGATAATACTAGTTTTTCAGGAACGGATTACATGGCCCTTTGATGCTGAAAAGTCACTCACAACATACAGGGGACTAAGGTCAAAGCCAGAGTTAACACATCATAGCTGCACAGGAGGAAGACAGATTAGTTTCTCACAGCTTCTGTTGCTAGATCTGTCAGAGCTCACCTTTACACAGTTCGCTCCTCAAGCCTAACGGGTTTCTCCTCCCCCAGCAGAGGGCTAAGACAAAGGCATTCCCAGTTAAGCAGATAACTGGACATCCTTCGAATAGCCTAAGGGCTCAGCATGCACCATTAGAAACCTTCCTTTACAGACATCTTGTGCTGAACACACCTAAAAAACATCCACAGGAATGAAAACGTTTGGCTGAAGCTGCAGTTTTCAGGAACTTTGACAGATGCAAACAGCTCTAGCTTCCACCACTACAAGCCAAATTAATCTGACTTCATACAGCTGTTATAAACAGCTGAGAGACAGGAAAAGCTTAAGTTTTTCTGAGCATGGGCACATTACTGCATTTTTTTACCCAGAATTCATGCCATCAGTAAGGTGGATACAAGTCCCTTCCTTCCAGGTTCAAAGATAACAGTGAACACTGAAAAGCTCGAACAGAAGAGTTGTCAGTAGCCTCTGATCAGGGCACCCCTGATTCTACTTCGGAAAAAGTAAAGTCATACTGCTCCATGTATAAAACACTTCCAATGAAAAGCAGAGAAAGCTAATTTTAATCTAATTTTTGGCAAGAAGTCTGTGAGATGGAGAGTTTGTTAGCTGAGAAGAGACTTGGTAACAAAGTCAGGAAACGCATGCTTGAATTGATCTGCCGCCTCCTCAAGCTTGCAGCCAGCGCTGAACTAATGCCCTGTTTCTCCCCTCTCCTTCCCTGCCATGGATCACAAACTATTACCTGCTCCAGGGGAAGCTGCAGTGGAATGTTTTTCCTAGCAGTTCTCCAAAGTTCCCCCAGTGCTTCAAGCATCAATTATTCCTGAGGACTCACACATCTATATGCACACCTCGTTTGCACTGACAGCAGGGTGGAGAGCAAACAGATCTGTCAGGCAGCACTGTTGCTTCCCAAGCCCCACCATCTCTCGTACACACGCTGTGCCCCAAGTGAAAGCACAGCTGCACGCAGCCCAAGCTACTGCTGGTCTTGCCTGCTCAGGACCTCCTGCAGGATCCATCCTGCCTCTTCTGCAGGGAGAGGTCTATGCAACCAGACTACACCTCTCAGCTCTGGCTGGGATGCTGCCAGAGAAGCCTCTTACAGGCAGCACTCCTCTGGCACTTCCCAATGTTGCTTATTCTTAAACCACTGGGGTACGAATCTGCTGCACTCAAAGTCTGTCCCAATTCCTCCTGCTCTTATGGAGATAGCTGGGACAGAGGTATTGTCCAGCCAGCATCCCAGATGACAAGGGGCCCTGACCTTCAAAACCTACAGACATTAACATAACATACATTCCTGTTTAATTGCCTTAAAAGGAGAGGATCTTCTTCCTGCAGAGGCTAAGAACAAGAACTTTGTCCTCATCCAGTCTGCACTGATAACCCAGTCTGACAGGAGACCTCGACACTAAAAGAGAAAGCTCACACATATCTGACCTTCTTCCATTCACAAGCACTACAATCGCTGGACACTGTTGCTATTGAATGCTCAGAAGTGGTTTAGAGCCAGACACCTTCTTTCTATCTGTGCCAAAATAGCGTCCTGTCATTCCTGGCCTTGTGCCCACCATTCACTCCTATGCTGAGAGCACATTACAACCAAATCCAATACTAGAGGTGGCTGTTTCCTTGCTAAGTGTAGTTCTGTGCCAACAACTCCACAGACTTGCTGGCTTTGAGGAGAGCTGCAGATTTTGGCTTTGACCCTTCAGAAAAACCTGGTTACTAGAGCTGCTGCTATTCTGTAAGGTGCTGTGGCAGAATGAGCTAGGCTTCTTTCTTTTGGTGATAAACTGCTCTGCAAGAGCTCTCTGTTTGGTCTCACTGAGTCAAAGTGTATTTCTCAAAGCACTTGTGGATTTTGCTATCCCTTCACAAGCTTTCCTGGTTATTCTGACAGCTCAGGTTTACTGATGCCCAGTGTCAGCTTTGTTGTACACCTCATGTCACCAGTGCCAGGGGGTTGCCATTACCAGCCCTGCATTAGAACATGTTCTAAGCATAAATACAAGAGCCCAGTATGCTACAGCCTTTGGGCAGACACTGTTCTCGAATGCAGGGGAAACACTACTCTTTTCATATCCATGCTGCCAAATTTATTTCACTAACAACATAAATCCAGATTTTAGTCCACTTCCTTCACCTCTCTCCTCCACCCTACCCAGAGGACTGAGTCACAGTCTGGCCTAATGGGAACTTCTGACTATGAGAGATAACAGACTTTTGCACATTCGGACAGCCAAATTTATTACTAAGCTTAGCTAGAGATTGATGTCCCTGTTAGCAAAAGGCCTGGCATGCAAGCTGGGCTGGCTACAATGTCCAGCCTCACACTAGAAGTGAAGCAACAGAGAAGGGAGCTACTTTTTTCAAGATGAGACATTCCCATTTCCTTAGACAGGGACAGATGTTCCCACTCTTGCCTGGGAGGGATTTTAAAAGTCCCTTCAAGGAAGGTGATTGTCCCTCAGACTGTTTCCTGTACAGATACACTGGGATTACATTGCCAATAATGCAACTGTCAGAAGGACTTCCCTGCTGATACTTTGGTAGCAATACAGAAAGGTTTTTCATCTCTAGATAAACAACTGGCATCACCTTCTCCCACCATATTACCTTGCCAAAGCCTGCTTGTTCCCTACAGTGCCTTAGTAACAGTACATGTGTACAGCCAAACTTTTTGAATTGGCCATTAAGGATTCAGAGCTGTATCCAGCAATCCTACTGCTGACATGAAACCTTCATCTCTAGCAAAATGAAACCCCTCCCCAGGATGGTCTAGTAAGCCTGCACTTAAGTAGCACACAGATCTGTGCTGCTAGAACAAATACAGGGAGTTATACTCACGGTCAAGTCCATTCAAGTAGCGCATCCGTATTTCACAGTGTCCCCACACTGCACTTACGACTGGATATAGCTTTTTCCCTTTGAGTCCCCGAAACGCAACACCCATGTATTGCCCATCTACAATGAAGCTCAGTGTCCCATCATCCATGTCTAGAACCACCAGGAATGAGTCCGGCACAATGAAAGTTTCATCTGGTTCTAAGAAGGCAGGATAGGTTTTACTTGGTTGGTTCTTGCCATCATGGTACAGTCTGTTGCGCCCAAGGTCCCACCCCCACGATTCATGGTTATTTCCCACCAGCGTTGTGTACCCCACTGAATGCAAAGGGGCATCTGCTGTTGCCACCCCGACCACAGCATGCGTGCCTCGCTGCCTCATTGCCCAGGTGATCTGCCACACATGCAGTCCTCGTGTATATCCCACTTTGCCTCTGATGGCATCTGTACTCTGAGCCACCGGATGCCGGTGAAATATGAGTTTGTCATCCTCTTTCACAAATACATTCAGCGAGCGATCATCATTGTTCCATGAATGCAGTAACTGGACTTCATATGATACCGGAGGCATGTCCAGTAGCAGGTCCAGACGCGTGGGTTTGCTGTAATCGAGTCCTTGGAGTTCCTGTTTCAATGGCCTGTATACAGGGTCCCTCATATCCACAGTCTTTATCCCACCTGTGACCTTCTGACCCATTGTGTGTTCCGATTTCGCCTATTTATAGGCTCCCAAGGCAAGCTCATCGATCTATCCGGCCGCTCCTGCTGTCATTCAGCCCTACAGAAAAGGTTGCTAGGAGACCTTGTCAAGATGTGCGCTGGTCAGTATTGCCTAATGGAGGGAAAGAAAAACAAGAGACAAGTTAAACATTAGCACATACAGCCTTGTATGCAACATTTACAGATCACAGCTTTAATCCGTTTATCTTGACAACTTGTCCCTCCTTTCTACCAGGAAGGAAGGGTAATGCATGCTAATTATGCATCATGCCCTGCACAGCAGGGATAGCATATAGATCAAATAGATAAGTACGAAGTTTCTAATGTCCCCTTCAGAAAGACACTTGAATATCTGCTTCATTTACAGAAGGTATAGATTAAGCCACCAGAGTTGCTCATCTCTTTGCAGTGAATCCACTGCTCCTTATTACTGCATTACTAAACCTTAAGAGAGCACAACTGCATTTAGGCTGCTTCCAGCTAACCTTGGATTTACATCATGATCACCTTTATGTCATCCAGGCTGGAAAATTCAAGAGAAGAGTTCACTCAATGCCGAAGACTCAGAACCCAGTACACAGCAACGCTTGAGACTTACATTTTTCCTCCATCATCTTCAGTTAGTAGGAGGACTGAAAACAGTGTCTCATAAGCACAGATTTTAGCTGGCCTCCCAGCCCTAGTTCATACCACAAGGTCAGGCTGAGCAAGACATCCCAGTGAAGGCCCAGGCTGCCCACTGGTGTTCACTGCTCCAGCTCCTTCCAACCATCATGGAGAATTTCTTCTCCTGCCAAGCCCATCTCTATAGCTGCCCACAACGGAGCCAAAACACACAAGGCATTTAGCACTCAGAAAAAGAATCCAAACAGTTTCAGGCAATTTCTCAAAGACAGACCCGAGTTTACAATTGCTTTGTCTTTGGACCCTGTAGTAACACACTACAGCTGACTAGTGGTGAGGGATCGATTTATACAGGTGACTGCTCTCTCCCTCTGCTGCTCTAGAGAGGTTGGAACTAGCCTTCAGAATGCAAAACATTCGGCAGTATAGCTTCCATTACAGGGAAAGGAAAGCAGGCTGTGTTTCAGGGGGGATACGGTTGCGTTCTAGCTCAAAACCAGTACCACGGTTAGACTGGCAAGCAGAACAGGCACTACAAACAGGCCTACTACCTGCAGTGGTTTTCAAGAGTCCTAACTAGCTTGTTCATGGAACACACTAGATAAGCACTTTACATTCTCCTAGCTGGTACTCCAGTGCTTCCTTTGCAGTGCTCCCAGATCTGACAGACATGAGATGAGGACAAGCAAATTCCAGCCTTCCTGTTTTGGCTGACAGTTGTAAATGAAAGTTCTTGGGGAACCTCCAAGATGTACGCATCCCCTAGAGTAAAGGCTACATACCGCAAAGACACACACAAGTATTGCCTGCTGTTGTCATCCAGCCATAGTTTTATTCCCTCGGCACAAGCAGTTCCAAAAGAGAAATAAAGCACTGAACACAAACCATGTCCTCATAGGAGTGACCAAACAAGGTAGAAGCCAGGCAAAGAAAATGAAAGCTTCTCCATCTGGAGAGTTACAAACCTTCCACAGATCAGCTGGCAATGCAGCTAGCAGCCATTGATACGAGTTTAAGCAGCTAATTCTCTTCAACCCTGCTTAAGCTTTGTTAAGTACCCTGGAGGCCTGCAACTCCAAAACAGCAAACAAAATCTGCTGGGTCCAGCCTCAGAGGACACACGTTCCAGCAGCTGTTGGTACTGTTGGCCCCGCTGAATTACTACAGTCAAGAGAGCTGATAAACCTGCTCGATAGTCTGTCTCAAATGAGCAGCTTCAGTTGGGGCAGCTTCTCTTCTCCAAGAAGAAAAAATCCCCAGCTTCAGACGCAGAGTCCAGGGGGGAGGAGCAAGATCCTTCTCACAGTTTAGCAGTTTTCCTTCCAAATTTCAGAGAAACCTTTAAAAAGTTTAAGCCAGCTTGGCTAGAGATACCAGCTCGCTTCGCGTACCTGTCTTCCAGCACTGCATCCACCGAAGTGTCTCTGCTCTCACTCAGCAACGCAAGCAACCCTCTGTGAGACAGCTGCCAAACTGGGGGCAGCTATTAGGAGAATTAGAAGTGGGAGGGGAGTGAACTAGCTTTCTAAGAAAAAAAAGTGTTATTTTAACATTTCCTGAAGTGAGGCAATCCATACAGGGCTCCTGCCAGCTACAGTCACAACACTTACTCACAACCAAGGACCTCATCTGGCATAGAAAACAGAGCATGAATCAGATCTGGTTTAAAAACGAAGCCTTGCTGCTTATGTCCAGTAAGCTCAGCTAGAAGGTGGTAGGAAGGCTCATGTATGCTCTGGGTTAGGGATCAATTCACCAGCTTCCCTACAGGTTTTTACTACTAGTCTAGGGTATGCCATTGGAACAGCGAGCTCAAATCTTGTAGTTCTTAAATAAAGACAGACTACTTTTCCTTCCCTTCCCTCCTTTTCAAGTATGGAGAGGAAAATGCCTGAGGTTCTTTACAAGTCTCACCGTGATGCACATTAGTAGGCAGCAGTATAGCTATTTCAAGCTATTCAGGGACCTCAGATGTACAGCACTGACAGACAGAAGATGGTTCATTAAACAAGTGCTATTTAAATAAGGTCCAGTCACCTTATCAGCTGGTAAGATAACCGAGACATCCTGCAAGCTAAATAAGTACCATCCACAACATCAGAACAAATCCCGAGTTAAGGAAGCCAGCTGGTCAACAGCTGAAAATAACAGCAAAACCAGTTGAGGGATGGCACAGCCACTGGATGCCAGAGCATCGCTCTCCCCACCACAGTGTTCAGTTCTTCTGCTCCACAGCTCAGGTACTAGGCCACAGGCTCTCTTGCTCTTTAAGCCTAAGGAACAGCAATATCTCAAACCAAGGGATCCCAAGAACAAGCCAATACAGACATGAGCTGAGCTGCTGGTCTACAAGTTCAAGTACAGTGTTGTAACTGTCTTCTCAAGACTTCATCACTGCATCACAACAAATCCTACAAACCCACCTAGTAAGTTGCTTGATCTACTTTCTCACCTCAGCCCATGTGTTACATTCACATGGTTTAACAGCAGTCCCTCCCAGTCACCCCACTGTCCCTTCTGTAAGCCCACATGCCTGTGTGTACTCCAGTTCTGTTTTACACCTCAAAGCTCACACTAACTCTTTTATGAAGAGATTTGTGTGGTCACTCTAAGAAGTGTCTTCCCTGGGAAAGGCACATTGACTAGAAGCAATAATTATTAAAAATTTTCAGTCTCTCATTTGCTCAGGCTGGGATAAAGACCATCAGGCTGCAGAGACAGAACTGAATCCCGTGGTGTTCTACAGAAAGTACCAGAAGACCACCTGGCACTCCCAAGGCCCATGACATGCGGACAAAGCCTGTCAACAAGGCACTGGCTAAAGTACATTTGGAATTCTACACGAAAATCCAGCTGTTGGAACTTTGATTAGGATAAAGGAACAAAAACATTGGCAGGAGGAGGAGAGGCAGAGATTTCCTGAGAGCTGCACAGTATATGTGAGAACTGTGCATAGGAAGCAAGAACCAAAACACAGCAGACTGCCAGACTGCAGAAGTACTGGTCCAGACTGCTTTGAAGCACAAAATGCTTCAGAGAAGTAAGAGAATACAATTCTGTGCTCTTCATTAGCAAAACAATGCCTCGTTCATTATGACTTTTTGCCTTTTGCCAACATAAGCTTCATTATGTTTCCCTCAAGGCTGCTGCACTAGAAAGGGAATCACCACAGTGAGAGACAACAGGGACTTCTGAAGCCCATGGGACAGGATACCGTCTCACTGCCTGCTCCAAGGAGAAAGCAGCTTTTCCTGAACACAAGCACCACTCATCACTTGCACTACTTATGACTGTTTTCCCAGGCAGACTGTTAACACTAAACGAAGGACAATGGCTGGAATAAAGAAAGGGGGAAATACAGAAAAGAGATTGGAACAAAGGTGTCAATTAGAGTAAGAGCAGGTCAGATACTGAGTGCCACATGCCAAGCTTGAAGTGCAACAGGGCTCCTTATTAGGGCAAGGCAACAATTCCTGCTCAGAGCTGGCTCCACTGCTCCTGGCACTAGCCTGGTCTGGAACTGCAGAGTGGCACCTTGCCCTGCAGTCAGGAAGCATAATTAAGCCCTCATTTTTTTTTTAGAAGGAAAAGCCTCTTCATGCACAAGACAATACAGGCACTTTCCCTCAGCAGTGCTGATACAGAAAAGCTTTCCTTCTAAAATTAATGGATTAATGCCCTGGGCAGCTTGATAGGAGACACAGCCAGCCATAAATGAAAAGATATGCTAGAGAATTAGCTACTTCAAAACCTTTGAACTGTTACAGGTTTAAGCACAAATGTAAGCACTGAAAGTGCTTTTATCTGTCATATCAACAGCTCAGGCTTGCTGCAATGCTGATCTGCCTTATTAACATAAGCTCATCCCCATGATGCTCTGTTCTGCTCCCATGCTATTTTCAGATTTATTGTTAACCTTCTAGGCCTAAAAGCTTTGGAACGAAGTTGTAAGAGTGTCTCAAAAATGTTCACTGCTATTTTCAGTGAGAATTAGATCTCCCCTCAGTTTAGCTGTTCAGAGCAAGTAGGCAATTTGCCATACTAGAAAGATACACCAGGTTTCAAAACAACTGATTGCTGCAAATAGATCAAGGCAGGAGACAAAGATATGTCAGTGGAAGATGTTCAAGTCCCTGCTGCCGAATGGGGAGAACACAGCTCTTCAAATAAAAGAACGTGTAAAGGCAGAGCAAAGTTGGTGTCCAACAACTTCTGTTCAGGCTTTGACATGAACCAGGCAAAACAACTGCCTATCACAGACCTCTCCAGTCGAGACAGTCATCTTGATTTAGTTCACCCAAATGCTGTGAACAAGAGCAGAGCCATAGTCTGTGCCCATGGCCACATTCACCCCCCCTCAGCTCATAGGTTCAGGTTCACGGTGAACCTCAAAATGGAGCCAAGAACCCAACTACGCACATGCCATGGAGGTAGCAGTCTCAGCTATCTACAGGGGAATATTTTGACCCCCAGTATGAATTAAACAATT